ACACACACACACACACACACACACACACACACACACACACACACACACACACATATAATGGCTCGCTTCCTTCTTTGCCTCCTCTTTTGTGTGCATTTGTTGTGCTTTTCGTTTGCAACACTTGCACTCCTCCTTTTGCTGATATGTGCCTAGTTCTTCATCATTACACTGAGTGGAGAGGCAGCTACAACTCCTGAGCAAACCAAACACTCCTCGACGTTCAAATTTGTCTCCAGTGCTGCTGCAATTCATCACAAGCAGTAAGTTTAACACTTGCTGCCATACGCATACAGGCACACAAAATACAGATAGCATGCACGGAGAGCAAAAACAACAACAACAACAAAAACAGAGCAAATCAATCTATTGCAACCTGCAGTGAGCGCCTTCATGTGTAGAGCTCCGTTTGACTCCAGTCTGCAAGAACATGAAACATTTTGGTACCTCTAGAGGGGAGGAAAGATGAAACCCACTTAGATCCCCTGCCTTCGGATTATATGGCGGCAAAAACAGTCCAATTTTACACTTCTACCAGAAGCAACTCGAATAGGCTGGGATTTATAACTGAACTTAGACAAAAGAAGCCTACAAATGTATGAAGTCTAAAAAAAAGAGAATAACATAACATGTTTATATAGTCARATCTACATCTTTTACTAACTAAGAGATCACTGACATGGCAGAGATGGTAAGGGAAAATATGGCAGTAAAAAATAAACCAGCTAGCAGCTGTGAAATGGGTTTGAAAGAGTACTTCAGCCTGTGGAAGGAGGTGGTGCTGACATTTACGACAGAGAACAAAGCCCAGCGAGGAGGACAGTGCAACAAAGAGTGATACAGCTGAGTTACTGATTGGTGCTTTGATGTGCCCAACTCGTCTGTCTTGTTTATTCTGTTCCATCTGACATCAGGGCTGTCAGGACACATTTGCATTATGGATAGAGACATTTGATTAAAGTTGCCAAAATAAGTCACATCTCTCAAAAGTCAGTTTAGGACATACTGATGTCAATTCAAAGCAAAACTAATAGAATGTACCACTTTTTCACAGCTTTGTCATGACTTTACTGTGCATTTCAAGTCCAAAGTTTCAACAGTTGGTTTGCCAAACTTCATTAAAATATTTGAGAAAGTGATGATTAAATGTACAGGAAAGTAAGAAACGTGGCTAAATTAAGAGTACATGTGGAAGTGAGCTAATCGAATCAACAGGCAAAGTAAATAGTGCTTTATTTTACAACAATATCTGGAAGCAAAATCAAAATGAGCTGGATCTCTACCTTTTTGGTGTGTGTGTGTGTGTGTGTGTGTGTGTGTGTGTGTGTGTGTGTGTGTGTGTGTGTGTGTGTGTGTGTGTGTGTGTTGAGGGAGGGAAGCTATAGTTTCCCTCCTGTCTGAAGAGAAACTTCAATCACCATCTATTTAATCAAGGTCTGTTCAGAGCGGCGTTTTTCATTGCCTGGACAAAGAGCCTATGTGTCGATGTCTGCTCTCGATTCAGTCCTGGACTAATGTCTCTGGCCACTTCACTCAACAGGATGCGGCACTTATCATCAGGACAATGACAGAGTTGTAGCTGTGTGTAACAGAGGTGGGCTGGACAAGGCAGAAAAGAGGGTCGATTGGTCTGGGATGGCAAAGCAAATTGGAGAGCGTGACATGCCTGAGTACGATGAATGCAGGCCCACCTCTGTGCTCTCTTGGACACTTAGAAGACTAATGGTGCAGTAAGGCTAGCCAGCCCCCTTTCTTTTTGCTAAATACCTGGTGTTGGACTTTACTGATACACAACACAGCCAGTCCATTTCTATATGATAAATAAGGTGGAAAAATGAGAGCTATACAGAACCAGATACTGTTTCCTAATTGACCAATGCCAACTATCCTCTTTACACTGAGCTAAAAAAGAAACATTATTGTATTATTAGTGGAATCRGACCAAAAAATACACATTAAAGTAACTTTTCAACATATGGTTGTAGGACTTTCAAAAAGAAATGCAAGTTAAGAACAATGAGTTTCAAAATAAAAATCGTTTTAGAAAAAAAAATGAAGATTAAACCTGAGCAGCTATAGTGAGGGGAAAAAAATCAGTTTAGTAAAAGTGAACCTGAATGAGTCAAAATGGAGATGAGAAGAAGAAAAAAAGGGGATTTTGTAAAAAATAAATAAATAAAAAAAATCTGTCAAAAATGTGACTAAACCTCGACATCCAAGCTGTGCCAAAAATGCTGCAGAAATAAATAATTAAATAAATAAATAACAGGTATAGATTTTTTTCTGCAAAACTATTTCTGATTTGAAGTTTAATTTATGTATCAAAGAAGTACAAGACATGTTTTTTTTRCCCAGAATATATGTGTTTAAAGGGATCCATGATTAGTTGTAACCAGTGATATATATTACTGGAATGGGCATCACGTGTCCTGGGTTTGCTTCGCAAGGGGGATTTTTATGCATTGAGCTAATAACCATCGAAATCAATGAGCAGAATGTAGCGTGGTGCAAACAAACGCTTTATAAATGAACAAATATCACAAATATTTTGCCATAAACTGCAGAAATTGTTACAACGTTTACAAGAGCTAAAAGGGTTATGTTTCATGGGTAAATATTACACATATTTAACCAAAATTAATTATTTTAATCATAAAACCTGTATGCTAACATTAAAAAGCTTCAATGTTCATGGTTAACCTTATTTAAAATCGATTTTATCTGTTGTCAAATATATTATTTACTGATATTAAACATGTAAAATATGGACTTTAACGGATTGCTGCTAGTTAGACTGCATAATAATTCAGAAATTATGATGTAATCTCGCTAATGACAGACAGTAATGGAATGATTGCGCATCATAAACATAAATAGTCACATTGTCAGACAGGCTGGTTTATTCAGATATTATATTTTCTACATCCAGTTTTTGTGTGTTTTTCAACATCTACACCTATTGTTGTCTACACATCAACACCTACTGTTAACAGGGGGTGGAGTGATACTTGCTATAGCAGCGCTGTAGGAGGGGGACAACTGAAAACGGAGGCCTCCACCTCTGTTTAATGATGGACGGTCTTTCTTCACAAAAATGGCTTCTTTTACTCCTCTCTCAAACCAACGTTCCTCTCTATCAAGAATGAGAACATCCTCATCTCTGAAAGAGTGACCGCTGGCCTGTAAATGAGTGAAAACTGCAGAGTTCTGGCCATTAGATGTAGCTCGTCTGTGTTGGGACATTCTTTTGAACAGTGATTGCTTTGTTTCCCCGATGTATAGCTGGTCGCAGTCCTCCTGGCACTTAACAGCATATACAACGTTGCTCTGTTTGTGCCGGGGCACCGGATCTTTGGGGTGAACCAGCCTTTGCCATAATGTGTTTTGGGGTGTATCAAATGTATCAAATACTTGTTCTACCCACTGTATATGTATATGTATATATATATATATATATATATATATATATATATATATATATATATATATATATATATATATATATGGCGATGGAGAACAGAGCTGCTTCATGGAAGAAGAACCTCAGGTTAGCTTGTTGCGCTAGCACAGAGCTAATACATATAAGACAATGTAGCGTCGGCGTGTTAAAATATATTTTTAAAAAACACAAAACTAGACAGCCTACAGTATTTTTACAGTCTTTATTTTACAGTTAAAATATGTTTATCAAATAAAGTCTTATGTTACAACTAATCAGGGATCCCTTTAAATATATAATTTATAGAAAATGTGAGGAAGCATTATCCTGTGTGCAAGGGAAAGATGTTTTATT